GGGATGAATGTAGAGTGGCCAGGGGCTGTGGCTGTGGGGCAGGCTGGGGGCCGTGGCTGTGGGGCAAGCCAGGGGCCGGGGCAGCTGGTACCTGTCGTAGGAGGAGTAGCCATTCTGCTGCAGGAAGTCGTCCTTAATCAGCTTGGCCACCTCCAGCGTGATCTTGTCAGACTCGGCCAGGGAGGCCTGTGGGGAGAGCACGGGGGGCATGATGGGCACAGCTCGGCCCTCCCCTCCCCCCATTCCCCTCCCCCATCCCTTCCCCTCTCCTCCCCCCTTTGCTCTCCTTTCCCCACCCCTACTCCTCCTGTCTCCCCCTCAGTCCCTGTCCCGGTGTGACGCTGCACTCCATGTGTTTATGGAAATATGTTTATGAGTGTAAATATAATGTAAGTGGAATATGCTTGATGGCAAAAGGTCTCTTGTAAGGTATCATTACAAAGCTTATAATCTACTGAGTGTGGTCATCCTAGTTGTAAGAATGTATCATTCTTGTATCTGAAGCTAGAAATATGAAGTATTACTCTGAAGTCCTACTGTAACTATGCAAAGTGTGGGCCATTAATGAGGGCTTGGAATCTTGATGGCTCCCATTGACTAGGACAATTGGTTGTACACAGCTCTGTTTACTTGTAAGCCTTCCTGTGTTCCTGTGAGTCAGGCTGGGAAGAATGGAGGCTTGGGGTCTACCAGGACATGTGACCATGTCACTTGGTACTGAATCCATCTTAAACCTGGTGCTTTTCCATTTAGAAGGAGGGGTGGGGACCCAGAGAGACAAAGGATTCCCGCCTTGTGCCAAAACTATAAAAGGGGGTGGAGCAGGACAAAGGGGCTGCCAGTCATGAGAAATCCCCTAGTTACCACCTGAGCTGGAACTAACAAGGACTGTACCAGGGGAAAGGATTGGGCCCAGACTAGGAAGGAGTCTAGTCTGTGAAAGAAGCTTATTGGAACATCTCTGAGGGTGAGATTTACCTGTAATCAGTTTCTTAATGTATTAGGCTTAGACTTGCGTGTTTTGTTTTATTCTGTCTGTTATTACTTGAAAACACTTAAATCCTACTTTTTATACTTGTTAAAATCACTTTTGTTTATTATTGAACCCAGAGTAAGTGATTAATACCTGGGGGAGCAAACAGCTGTGCAGATCTCTCTATCAGTGTTATAGAAGGGGACAATTTATGTGTTTACCCTGTATACATTTTATACAGAGTAAAACGGATTTATTTGGGGTTTGGATCCCATTGGAAACTAGGTGTCTGGGTGCTGGAGATAGGTGACATGCTGAGCAGTTTTTGGTTAAAGTCTGCAGCTTTGGGGGCGTGGCCCGGACCCTGGGGCTGTGTTGCAGCAGGCTAGCGTGTCTGGCTCAACAAGGCAGGGTTCTGGAGTCCCAAGCTGGCAGGGAAAACGGGCTCAGAGGTAATCCCAGCACGTCAGGTGACAGCCTCAAGGGGGTTTCTGTGACCGAACCCGTCACACCCGGTCCCTGCCCCCTCACCTTGCCCACCAGCTGCACGATCTCGGCCAGGTCCTCCTCCTCCTGCAGGATCTCCTTGGCCTTGGTGCGCAGGGCGGTGAACTCAGGGTGGTGGCGCTCGTAGTGCTCGTCCAGCGCCCGCATGTACTTGCTGTAGCTGATGAGCCAGTTCACGGAGGGGAAGTGCTTCCGCTGGGCCAGCTTCTTGTCTAGCCCCCAGAAGACCTGGGTGGGGCGGGAGAGACGCCGCAGGGGAGGGAGGATGAGAACAGGACAGGACCGGGGGGGGGGGGGGCGATTCCCAAGGGGGTCAAAAGCCCCAGGGAGACTCACCTGGACAATCCCCAGGGTCGCAGAGGTCACAGGGTCGGAGAAGTCACCTCCCGGAGGGGACACCCTGGGATGACATGGAGATGGGCTTAGTCTGAGCAACTGGCCAGTACGGACGCTAATCCACAGCCGGATTGTGCTGGCGCTAAGCCCCCCGGTGAGGCTAATGTACCACAGCGATAAGTGGGGGACAGACACGGGGATGGATGGGTGGACGGATGCAGGGATGAGTGGACGGATGCTGAGGTGGGTGGATGGAGGAATAGGTAGATAGATGGATAGGTGGGTGGACGGATGCAGGGGTAGGCAGACCGATGGACAGATGGATGCAAGCATGGACAGATGCAGAGATAGATGGATGGATGGGGGTGTTGGGGGAGCAGGTGGTTTGGGGGTATTGGGCAGTATGGGGCTGTCGGGAATGTTGGAGGTGTCGAGGTTGTGGGGGTGTCAGGAGGTTGTGAGGTTGTCAGAGGTTGTGGGGGTGTCGTGGGGGGGTGTCGGCTGACATGGGGTGTTGGATGTTGTGGGGGTGCCGGGAGTCATGGAGGGTGTCAGCTGGCATGGGGGTGTCAGGGGTTGTGGGTGTGTCAGGGAGTTGTGGGGTTCTCGAGGGTTGTGGGGGTGTCATGGGTTGTGCGGGGGTGTCGGCAGGTGTGGGGGTGTCGGGGGTTGTGGGTGTGTCAGAATGTTGGGGGTGTCAGGAGTGGTGGGGGGTGTTGGCTGGCATGGGGGTGTCGGGGATGTTGGGGTGTCATGGGTTGTGCAGGGGTGTCGGCTGGCATGGGGTGTCGGGGGTTGTGGGGGGGTTGGGGTGTGGGGGGGTTGTGGGGGGGTGTGGGCAGGTGGGGGGGTGTCGGGGGTTGTGGGTGTGTCAGAATGTTGGGGGTGTCAGGAGTGGTGGGGGGTGTTGGCTGGCATGGGGGTGTCGGGGATGTTGGGGTGTCATGGGTTGTGCAGGGGTGTCGGCTGGCATGGGGTGTCGGAGGTTGTGGGGGTGTTGGGATGTTGGGGGGTTGTGGGGATATCAGGAGTGGTGGGGGGTGTCGGCAGGTGTGGGGTGTCGGAGGTTGTGGGTGTGTCGGGATGTTGGGGATGTCAGGGGGGTTCGGGAGTCATGGGGGGTGTCAGCTGGTGTGGTGGTGTCGGGGATTGTGGGTGTGTCAGGATGTTGGGGGTGTCAGGAGTCGTGGGGGGTGTTGGCTGGCATGGGGGTGTTGGGATGTTGGGGCTGGCATGGGATTGTGGGGGTGTCAGGAGTGGTGGGGGTGTTGGCTGGCATGGGGGTGTCGGGGATTGTGGGGGTGTCGGGTTGTTGGGGGTGTCAGGAGTCGTGGGGGGTGTTGGCCGGTAGGGGGTGTCAGGGGCCTTTCCCCATATCGGCTCTGACTCCCCGCCTTGTCAGCGTCACGGCTGGCCACTCGGGGAAGGCAGAAAGGACTCACGCGCCGACGATGCTGACGCTCCCCTCCCGCTCCGGGCTGCCCAGGCACTTGACCCGTCCTGCACGCTCGTAGAAGGACGCCAGGCGGGCGCCGAGATAGGCCGGGTACCCACTATCTGGAAAGCAAAGCCACTATGTGCCTGGGGGTGCTCGGAGCAGGGCGGGTCCCAGTGGCACCAGCAGGGGGAGCCCTCTGGACCAGGCTGAGTCAGGGGGGCAGGAGGTGGGGGATCCCAAGCCAGTGGGCGGACAGCATGGGGGGCTGCAGAGCACCCTGGCCAGCGATGTGCCTGGGGTCCCTCTCACGCGGGGGAGGGGGCTCCATCTCGGCACAGCCTCGCCCCTCGCAGTGCACTCGGCCCCCCACAGCCCAGGGCTGTAACCTCACCGGTCCCCACACCGGAGCTGGGAGCCCCTTTGCCCCCCACAGCCTGAGCACACTGGGACCAAGGGGTGCCCCCGGGGACAGGACATCAATTGGGGGCTGCCTGGGGATGGCACCAATCAGTGCAGCAAGTGGGGGGGTCACCATGGAAAAGGGACAGAACCAATCATGGGCAGTGGAGGGGGGAAGACACGTCAGAACACCCATCAAGGCAGCACTCGTGGTCAGTGAAGAGGGCAGAGGAGAGAGACAGAGTCACAGGCCCTGCCAATGGAGCGGGAACATGCCTGGCCCCATGCCCCAGCGCTGGGAACCAGCTGTCCCAGGGAACGTGGCTGGATTCGGGGGGACGCAGACTCGCTGGGCCCCATTCTGCTTTCCGAGAGGGGTTCAGAGTTGGGGTTAATCCTGCCCTGCCCCCCGGCGGTGCCCTAGCCGCCCTCGGTGCAGGACCTCGGTTGCACAGCGGGCAGAGCATCACCTGCAGGCATCTCCGCCAGCCGGCCGGAGATCTCACGCAGCGCCTCAGCCCAGCGAGAGGTGGAGTCGGCCATCATGCTGACGTGGTAGCCCATGTCGCGGAAATACTCCGAGAGCGTGATCCCTGCGGGACGCGAGCATCGGAAATATGAATCCCACGGACCCCTGCCAGCTCCCCGCAGCTCTGCCGGTGCCCCTCAATCCCGACCCACAGCCCCCTGCTAGCCAGCCCTGGGCTCCCCCTTCCACAGCTCTGACAGTGCCCCTCCATCCCGACCCGCAGCCCCCTGCTAGCCAGCCCTGGGCTCCCCCTTCCACAGCTCTGCCGGTGCCCCTCAATCCCGACCCACAGCCCCCTGCTATGCCAGCCCTGGGCTCCCCCTTCCACAGCTCTG